TTCTGAAGGAACTTTATTAGTCAAATACTTAATTATATCGAAAATTGTTTCTAATATTTTATTTGCGCCTTTTAAATATAAACGTTTTTTTCGGCATATCTTCAAACCCAGAACAGAATATATTTCAAGTTAATATGATCGTGCTTTATCAAGCTCAGCCCACGTACTTAACGTGATAACTCGCAAATGTTCCTCGTTACTCAGAGTCGCAAAGTGGCACAGCATATGCTCTGCGTTTCTTATGCTGAAGCTAAGTTTTGGCTATGTGTTAAGGTCCTAGTTTTGGCAGTTAGTCGAGACGAATCCTTCCTGCCCAGTTTTGCGCGACAAACATGTACAGGTCCTTGCAGCTTTGTAAGTTTTTACCGCTGCGTGCAGTCACATACATATTTTAAATGTATAGCTCATCTATCCCGAGCCGACCGATTTCAGAACGGTTTCGTTGTCATGAATGTTGCTGTGCATCGGCACCCAGATCAGCGCAACGACAAGCCTAAAGTCGTCTACGTTGCTGGATCGCACAGTGTTTCGACATATGGAGGCAGGTAGAAAAAAGTATATGGTGACAGTTGATAAAAAAAAAACCGGTTGGACTTAGAGATGGAAAAGTAAAAGTCATAAATAACAAATTTTACATTATCTACTCACCATCAAAATTTCATAATTCTCTATTTCAAAGTAAAACTATGTAGAGCAGACGTCAAGTTTCAGTGAAATCGGTGCAGGTGTACTATCATTTTCACCTGCCTCCATATAGTCGAAACACTGTGGATCGTATGAAAAATATTGCACTCTCTTTTTATTATGTACGTCTGATGAGGTGTGCCTTCTCTCGTAAGTGGTTTGTCGCCCCAAAAGATATAGTTTGTCTTCAGAATTATAATTTTTAAGTGACATATTTTCCTGCTCATATTTCGTAAGAAAAAAATATTACTATTTCATTTGACCATTTCCAACTTTTATATGTACTCATCCATTTGCTTCGCTAGTAGCTTGATTTTTTGGAAATGCGAAGGTTTTAATTTAAATAAAAAAAAATTACAAACGAAAGCTGTTATTATCTTTTCCTCTGTTTAAAATAAGTTTATATTTTTAAAATTTAGTTAATTATAAGCACCATATAAATCCATATTTTAAACTTTGCAGCGAGATTCTAAGTACATATGCAGTTTTTAGTCCATTAAATTCTAGTATAATAAAGTGAAACTTTCAAGATAATCTTTTTTTGTTTATATTCTTCCATAAAAAAAATTGTTGAACATATGTAGTCACTTTGTATGGAAGAAAATGCGTGGCACCGCCAGCAAAAAAAAAAATGTCAAAAAGCAACGGTATTTTGCAGACACTTTAAACTAGAAAATTGTCGATGTGCAACTTTTTTGATTTTTTTCTAATTTCTTTCTAACTAAGGATTCTGCGACATATTTACATAGCTGAAGAACACATTATACATAGATACTTATGTACATACATACATATGTACCTAAGCGAGATTGTAAAAAAATCGCTGGGTTCGCATAAATTATTCCGCTAAATTGCCATAACCAAAGCCCTACCTACACCTGTCACTTTTTATCCCTGAAGGAAGAAATCCAAGTACGCAAGTAAGGCCATATTAGAGGCAGTGGCAAAAATAAAATCAAAAACAATAAAACCAAGATAAAGGAAAGAAAGGAACTTAGGAAGAAAAAAATTACGAACATCAGGCGTCCAATCAAGGATAATAGTTAACGGCAAACAATGCTAACAATGAGAAGCGCATGATAACAAAAACAAAAGCACAAAAAAAAAAAAAAACACGTAGAAGCAGTGAATGCCACAAATACACAAACCATACGCACAAATTGCACCAAAACCACGACCTCCGACTTGTTTGTGAAGAAAGCTACACCTCTCAACCAAGGCACTGCAATATTACTTACAGAAATGAAAGTGAGCAGGAGCACTTGTTTACACACACCCTTATGCACATACATACATACATACATATGTGCGTCTCTGTATATTTTCGCTTGAATAGCGTCTCATTACCATAGATTTTCTAAGAAAGCTTGCTTCCATGCGGCAAGCATTTTAGTATCTACATAATCACCAGGGTTAGGATTTGAAGGCATTTGCCTATTTTGTCCGCTTAGTCATATCTGTAAACAAATTAAAGAATCACACGTTTCGTGTCTCCCTTGATTCAAAATTTTAATTTAAATTTAGCCTTTTTGACCTGTTTCCCTTGTTAATATTTATCTCTCCATAGCAATTCGATGTATTGTACCAATGGTGTGACTGCCAGGGATCGAACATAACAGTTATTGATGAAAACTGTCATGGAAAAATT